GTTAAATATAATATGTACCGTGTAGCTCGTTTAATAAATATATATTTTAGTTTTTTTTTTCTTCTCAAATATTTATGTAAGTATTTTACAAATCGAAATCTAGTTCAATTGTAAATTAAATATACAAATTGTTTAACACTCTATATTTCAATTTTAATGGTGTCTATAATTACAACTGCAAGGTGTCTCTTAGTTAAGACGTAAAATAATTTATTAAAATTTTATTTTAAAAGTCTGTACATTAAAAACATTATTCATTTAATAACTACAACTAAATACATAAATAATAATTTAAATAATAAATAATTTAATAAAATGTAATACATCAATTAAAAATGTATACAAAATATACATAACAGTTTGCCATGAATTCAATTAAATTTAGAATTATTAAACTATTTTTTTGTTATAAAATATTATTGAACTTATAAAAGAAGTTGTTATAAAAGTTTAGGATATTGTAAACCAAGGTGTTTTGAGTAGAACTTCAATAACACAGGGAACACGTGAAATAATAAGTAAAGGTTTTGATTAACCAGTTTTTTGTCATAAAAAGTAGTCAAAGGAGACTCTGTTTGGTAATTAGTCACCGAACAATCTTACAATCTGATTATATGTAGATATCCATTAGTTTGCTAATTGTATACTTATGAAGACCTAAATCAAAACATAACTGATAACTCAGGACTTCGAGCATTACCACTATAATTTGGTTGAGCCGAATCTGATGAATGTAAAGTAAGAAGTGAAACAGTGGAACACTTTCTCTGCCATTGCCAAGCCTTCTTTGAAATTTAATTCAAACACCTAGAGAGTGATGTTTTGCAAGATATACATGTATAAGATCCCTCGGAATAGACTGTTACTTTTAGTCATTAAGAATCTAAAAAGTTTTAAAACTTTATTTTTTAATTAAGTCAGAATTTCACGAAAGTCTCTTAGTTTAGACCAACGGTTCCCAAATGGGAGTCCGTGGACCCCCAGTGGTCCGTAGTAAAATCCTAGGTGGTCCGCGAAGACAAACGAAAAAAGCCATGAATAAACAATATTGTATCACTTTTATAAAGTAAGATATTGCCTGATATTTAATTTTTATTTCCTGTATATGTAGTGAAACAATGTTTTTTTTTATTTCAGACGGATAATGATCTGTCTTACAATTAAATAAGGGTTACTGGTATTCCGGAGTATGAAGTTAGGCCACATTTCATAATTCAAAGACAAGCTTATACCAGATTTAAGTTTGTCAAATTGTAAGCAAAAGTGTTCTTGTTTGTAAGGACTAAAATTATATATTTCAAAAATTGAGGTGACTCTTTATGTACCTTCAATACGTTAATTTAGTTAATTTTAAATATAAATATTCCCTTCCGACGTGATACAAAGATTTTAACTTGATTTTATCAACCAATATTATTAAATTAACATCAGAAAATCCATAGCGTTTCGCGTAAATATGTAGGCCAAACCATGCAGTAAAAGAGTTCATGTCATATATTATGCGGATAACGCATTCCGCAACAACATGGAAGAAGTCCAACTTTCATATATTATTTTCCCGAAAACTCACTTTACCCCTCTGCAATCGCAATAAATTTTTGAAACGTGACTCCTTAAGCACATGTCGACAATATTTGATAAAGAAACCTTTTTGCTACCTTGAAGAAAAATGAACATGAAAGATCTCACGATCATAAAATTAAACATCATGTTAACATTTCAACAAAGAAGTCTTTCTATCTTCAAAACCATGCAATTAAAAACCTATCGGGAATATTTTATAGATATGACATCTCTACATTTATTTGACCTAGGGATTTATGGACTAGGTCAATTTTCGGACGAACAATTATTTAGAACAATAAGATATCAAAATATGTATGGAGGTCCGCGAAATTAAATAAGTTCCTCAAGGGGTCCGCGAAGTAAAAACCGGTGGGAACCGCTGGTTTAGACCATATCTTCTAGGGAACTAAAGAGAACAGGAAAATTCCTATACTGTAGACTGAATCCTCCATATAGACTGAATCCTCCCCTATACACATATATTGTGATCTGTGCACCTTATCAAATCTGATCCAAAATATGGAATTCAAAAAAGTTTTTAAATATGTATGTGTTTGTAGATTAGTTTGGTACTATAGACTTTTAACGATGGACCCATTTTTTTTTTATTTTTTTTTATTTTAATTTTCACTATGTCTGAAAGAAACTAAATGCCTAGGTGTCACGCACAATTCCTATACATATTTTGAACACAAATTGGTGAACTACCCAGCAGTTCGACAAAGAGTCAATGCATCCGAAAAAGACAGTAATTTTCGTTAACGTCTAACCACTTGGTTGGCTCTAATTCGTCACGGATGTAGTCTTCGTAAATGAGGGTGAAGATAATCACCACTTTAGTGTCCCCTTTGTAAGCGACATAGGGGACACTTAAAAAACAAACTTAAGCTTTTTGTCTGTCTCTTCGTAATCTATGGGGTGACGATTGACTTCCTCTTAGGACAAGCACATATTAAAATAGCTAGTCATATGGACAGTCGGTGGCTAGGGGTAAGTCTAAGTAGTAGGTTAAATAGGTAGTTCGGGACTGTCCGACCAAACTGCTGGGTAGTAATAGTGGGCGTAGCACTTCTCATATGAAGTTAATACTCAAATTCGTATAACTGGGTAATTATAAGAGTAGGACAGATATACAAGCTAACACAGTTCCAATCAGCGGGCGACTTATTTCGCCTTAAAAGCTTAAGACGGCCATTAGCGACTTTAAAAAGGCATCGCCCATGTAATAAAATAAAATTGTTCAAAAAAAGTTTTTACCTTTTTTGACCATCTTATAGCAGACACAAATTATATGGAGAAAGATTTCTATATAACAAACTTTTCATACAAAAATGTTTCTATATAACAGAAGCTTATGTGAACAATTTTCTAAAGAAAACAATAAATTTGGCAACCGCCAGTAATTTATATTATACAACGCCACCGGCGACCAAAACTAGTTGCGCTGTGGATAATTTTGCAACGGCTTATATCTCTGAGCTAGAATTAGGATGCAAAATGGTAGTCGGAGCAATATTGGTTATTACACCCCCATATAAACTAAATAAATTCGGAAAACTATAAAAAATAGAGATCGCACCGCCATCTTTGACATCCCTATAATTACTTAGCAAAAAGATTTGCCTACTACCAATAGCGAGCGAGGTACCTCCCATATGAGGTATATATTAATATAAGAATATCTGGGAATCTAGAATAACTGCAGTCTTAAAATATATTAAGAGAAGGAATTAGTATAAATACCCTGCAAAATTTATTGGGATACGTAATCCATTTCGTTAATTCAAAGACAACTCGCTCGCCTCTAAACATTATTAGAGTACATGATCCGTTTAGTAGTCCTATGTAATGCAGGCATGGATCATGTTTATTATTTTTGAAAACAACATGGAATATAGTCTGCATTATATAGGATCATGTTGCGGATCATGTACTCCAATAATTTCAGCAGGGGACTAGTTTGATGTATTACATGGTCCTCACTAGGACATTACAATGTTAAATGGAGTATATTTTTTCTATGAATTAATAACCATAGTAGACAGGAATAGTGGGTGGGACATTCCCCATTAAGTACTAAATGTCGTATATCTGGGAAATTATAACAGCTAGAGCACTAAAATGTTCAGATATGTAAAGGTATCTTCTCTCTGTTATAGTGTTTCAAATATGAGCGAAACTTTTTTATGACACAATATCTGGAAATGATTCGGATTCATCGCTGAACGATCCTTTAGAAAGGTATACTTTGGTCTCTGAGTTTCAACTTTTTGCAAATTTTGAAAAATTTCAAATAAAATAGAAATTTTGTTTTATAATTTAACAAAATTTTCAGATCTTTCCGTATAAAAGTGATTTTAACAGACAGATCGGGTTAGAGCGAATTAAAATTTTATAAAGACTAAAATTTTTATGTGTTACAAACGATGACATTAAACATATATTTGATTTTGTCAGATATACATATGGGTAATTTCGTGTCAAGTGACCCAACTTTTAAAATCGATGTCTTCCGAATTCGCACCAATGTTAGTACTATTGGATAGTAGGTCAGACACAAATTTTCAGTACTATCGGTCAAGAACTGCTGGAGTTAAACGTGATCAAACATGGACATTTTGCTCATATAGGTAACTTTTCATCTAGTAAAAATTATTCAAAGGAGATCAGATAGCTATTTCTTCATAGTTTCCAAATTTTTTTTAATTAATCTAACTCCTGCAGTTCTTGACCGATACAACTAAAAATTTGTTTCTGGCCCACTATCCAATAGTAATAACCTTGTTGCAAATTTCATCAAAATGGATTTTTTGAGTTGGGTCACTTGACTTGAAATTGCCCATATATGTATAACAAACCGTTTTAATCTAACAAATCAGATGTGTTAATTTCAAAGCACTAAATAATTAGAAATCCATACAAATTATAACTACAGTAAACTCATTATATATTCATATAATAATGAAAATGTTTTGTCAATTTTGATTTGTTAATTTCATTAAATTGAATATTTTTGTTACAATTTAATTGAGATTGTACGACGATAACAAAAAAGTGTGCTAAATAAATTAATAATTCTTAAATTATTCCATGACAAAGGCGAATAAAAACTACAAAAAGCTATAGCTTTTAAACTTTTCATCATAGATGTCAGATATTAATCTTATCAAAATACAAAAAAAAATGGTACAAGTACCTACATGACAGTTTTTAATGGATTTTGTAGATTTATTTTTTTAGAATATTTCTAAAGAGATTTTTCTTGTAACAATCAATAGCTAGATAGATAGAGTTTAATGCAATTTTTTTTAGCTTATAATGAAATTCATAAATATAAAAAAGAAAGATAAGAAATAGAATTTCATTTTATGGAATAGAATAAATCATTTATTTACTTATAGATGTTAGAATTGAATTAAAAAATTAATATTCACCTTATTTTCATTATCCAAAGTAAAAATATCAAGAGCTTATTACGTTTATACCACATGTCTTGACAGTGCTCGTGCGTCGTTGTCTCATATTATGCTGATCGATAACAATGAGAATAATTTTGATTTTGACACTTGATAATATTTCATTTAAAATTTTCAATAAATATTTATTATTATTTTAAAGGTTTTCGTTTTATTTTACGACAAGATTAATTAAATTATTGTGGTAAATTAACGGTTATATAAGTGGCTGTTTAAGGGCTTTAGGCTTTTTAATTTTTTTTTTACAATAAATTATGTTTTGTATTTGGCTTAACACGCACTTTTTTTGATTTTTGTTACTTTTTGTTAAAATGATTTTTTTTTTATTATAAATTTTTTTCACACATTTGTTAAAGGTTTCATTAAGATCTGTTCACGGCATGGTGTTCCAAACAATTTTTTTATTTTTCGGTTTATTTGCCTGGATGCTTGGGTAATGAATTAAGTTGTTATGGAAATTATAACACACTGAGTGTGGAACACACACTCACTCACTCATTCACTCGCAGCCAAAGTCAAACTTCAGACACTTGACAACACTTTGATTTTAAGAGTCTCTTAAGAAAGAATACAATGCCTATTGGGGGAATTTGCATAAATCATCATCATCATTCTCAAGAGTAGTAGTAGTAACAACAACGACCAGAAACTTGCTCATGATTGTGATCATTCTTCATATGCGGCCACATTTACATCATGATCATCATTATTCATCAGCTAAACGAGCTTCTTGGCGTTGAAAAGCACCTTTTAGCATCCTGTGACTACAACAACAACAAAACAACACCTTCATTTTTCATTTAGATCCGAAAAGTATCTGGCCATTTGGCAAATAATCCAAAGCTGCAATATATTATTCAAATATTCAATTCACCGTGACCGAAGAAGTATGACGATGACTGTTTGTATGCGATTTTACCATCATTATTCACAAAAAACTATAAACGTAGTATGTTGCGCATGCGCAAATGCAATATTTTGTTTTTTATTTAATTCTTGAAGTGTTGCAAGAGGTGTTTTGTTGTTGTTGCTGTTTTTTTCAAGAGGTTTTTTGTTATCAATTGTGTTGATGTTTTTGTAATAAGTATTTAAATGAGCCTTTTAATGCAAAATCAAAGTTAAAAAAAACGTCTGTTTTTTTTAAAGCTGCAGCTTTTTGATTGGCGGTAAATTGTCTCTTTAAGTCTGGTGTAGATCAATGGAGGGATTTGTTGGATACTTTGAGGGTTATTATAACTTAAATGGCTCAGCAGGTGAAAATCATATTAAGCAACACATTTCTGTTTCATTTTTTTAATAATTTTTTTTCCATTAAAATTCCCTTAATATTTAAATTATGATAATTTCCAATACACAATATAAAAAAGATGTTTTTTCTTAATTTTAATTCAAAAGATTAATCTCTTTAGGCTGACCGCGACCGTGGCTAATAATAGACACTTCTTAGTCAAGTTAATTTACATTTGAATGGAAACAGCACAGCATCAGTCATGCACACTCTTAGGCCACGACAAAACGGTGTTAAATAATAACAATAAAATAAAATTTAAAATAAAAAACACTACAACGAAAAACCCCAAAAAACAAACCGAAAAATTATCCAAAAAAATATATAGAAAACGATTTACCAAAACATTCCACCGTATTACGTGCGTTTATGATTTTTATTATTATATTTTTTTTCTTACGATCAAAAGAAGATTTTTCTTCTCAACCGGTTAACGATTGATTAACAAACTAACTAACTAAATAAGACGAACGAGACTGACTAACTAACAGCTTTCGTTTTCGGTCCAAACTATTAAACGTTTAATAAATAAGCCAACAACACCGTTATGGCAAGAGTTATAAAGAGTAAAAACTAAACACGAACCGTCTCTTTCGAATGGCCACGACTTAAGCCAACGAATGTCAAATAAGAACTAAACTCGATCTGGTTAAAAGTGTTTAGAGCCATTGTGTTTTGTAGATACAACAAAAATTGAGCTATGTTCGTTAACAACAACAGCCAACTCAAACCATATTAAGCGTTCAATCATACATGCAACTTACAGCATGTATTTCCACCAATAGTAACGGTTTATAACACTAAACTCTACACAACAGGTAGGAAACTCTACTACATTAGGATCAACAACAACAACAACAAATGTAATTTACTTTACGCATTTTACCTTTGCAACAAGTTCGATAGCATCTTGATACATTCAAGCAGAAATAATTAATCAATCATTCCAACAAATTTGCCATTTCTTGATCAATTTTAAAAATCATATTGAATTTGTTTAAATCTAGTGTTATAAATTACTTACCCCTCTCCCCCTTTCCTATTTTAATTATTAAAGCCATCACATCTTATTGTTGTCATTATTGTGTAAATAATACTTATTAAAAATTATTTATGATTTTTTATTCTTAGTGACACTATAACTAATTGCGTTCATCAAACATTAATCAAACTTTCAATCATCGTATTCATCGTTGTTGTATTGTTGCAAAGTTACAAGTTAATTTTAATTAGTTAATAAATTATATTTTAATAGTTGTTTTATATTTTTTTTCTCTTTCGTTTTTAAATATGTATATTTTACAATGTACATATTTGCATATAATAAAAATATCAGTATCTAATCGACCATCATTTGTTATTAATTTTATGGTCAATTGCATATTTCATTATATTTTATTGTTTTTTTTCTTTTTTTGTTCCTACTCAGTTATATTTAGCAATTTTCTAATGAATTCTAATGCATTTGAAATTCTATCAATCATATGTAGTTATTTATTTACGTATAACACACCTTAACTTAAAGCTGACTTAGTAGCCTGGTATTTAAGTTTAAGCAGTTTAGGGAACTGGGTTAAAGAAATAGTATTTTATTTGTTATAATGTAGTTGTATGTAAGAAAGGATTTTTGGATTTTCCTGTTCAGTTCTGCCTGTTTTTAACGGATTCCAGGTTGGTTACGTTATAAAGAATATATTGGGTGCAGATTAACACTTTTTGATATCTGTAAGTATAATTTGACAATATTGTATTATGTTTCAACGGGTTCAAGGTTACATTATGTTTGGACAGTTGCTTCGGCAAGAAAAACATTTAGGTCCATATTAATCCTTTGAGATACCTGTAAGAATGGTTTGACGTTGAGAATCTTCCCACCATCGACCACACCACCCCACCCCCCCCTGGGCATGTTTCATTGATGAATGACCCCATCATGTTGTATTCCAATCCCGGCGTAAACAGGTGCAACCAGTATCTATAGTCTGCCGGGACTATAAAGTGGTGATGATCAAATGTATCCTCGGCCTTTCCTCGGTATGATTTGACATGGGGTCTAACCAGAGCACCATATAATCTGGTACTATAGGTGGCCAGTTGCCCGCAGGACTTGTCTGTTCAGTTGGTTGAGGTTCATTCGGGACCCACGTAGTGGCTGTGGTTTAAATTCGCGAGAGATAATGTTGGTTTAGGGACTGATATATTCTATGCCATAATTATCAGGACTCTCTCTCCGGTGCTGTTGCCATCTCAACAGATTTCTCTGGGTAATGCGACAGAGCAACATATGCTGGATTCCTGAACTCGTTGAGTATCTATTACTCTTCGCGTAGTAGGGTGCCAGTATAGGTTGGGGAATTCTTAGGTTGACACTTGGTAGTTGACTGGTGAACGATCGGGAAAGACGCGTGGTATACTGTTCTCAAGTCTACCCAGTGGATGAAAAAGACCACCGTTAAGCACTTAGACATTCATCCACTTGTTGTACCTCTAGTCTGCCGAGACTATAAACTGGTGATGATCTAATGTATCCTCGGCCTTTCCCTGGTATGATTTGACATGGGGTCCAACCAAAGCACCACATAATATGGTACTACGAGTTTCCAGTTGCCCGCAGGAATTTGTCCTGGCTGGTCAGTTGGTTCAGGTTCCTTCGGGATCCACGTAGTGGCTGTGGTTTGAACCCAAATTCGCGTGAAGGGCTGCTTTTTATACCCTACACTACTATAGTGGGTAGGGTATTATACGTTTGTGCTGATGTTTGTAACACACAAAAATATTGGTTCTACACCCACCTTAAAGTATACCGATCAATTTAGAATCACTTTTAGAGTCAATTAAGACATGGTCCATTATTTCACCTAACCCCATACAACCGTGCCTCCCGATTTGAGCTTTTTATGCCATAATTACGTCAACCATACTATTATCTCTCTAAAACTTGGCACAAATAAGTTTTATATAAGTATAAATGACACTGCAGATGTTCGTAATGATCGGCCCTTATTTGATCCTAGCCCCCATACAAACCCCCCTTCAAAAATGTCTTAAACGTCTAAAATTGACTTGTAACCATTTGTATCGCAATGAAACTCAACATAACTAACTATTATTTAAAAATATATCCTTTTCCCAAATTTAATGAGGATCGGCCCATGTTTGACCTATACTCCTATATAAAGCATCATTTAGAAAAATTTTTTTTTATCAATAAATTGCTAAAATACTTTGGAATTAAGGTAAAATTCAACATAATAGTTTCTTTATGAAAAATAAAAATTTTTTAAATATACTCATGGTGTAGGCTATTATATGGTTGGCCATGCCCGACTATACTTTCCTACTTGTTTAAATATTGAAATATACATTTTCGAGATAAGTTACCAGTTACCAGGCTGTGGATAAATAAATGTTAGATTTGAGCTGATAATGCAAAGATTATTGTTGGAGTGCGATGGACCATCGGATACTTGTATCTGATGGATGAGAGGGATTTTGAGTTGAGACTATAGACTAGACTAGACTAGTAAAAAGTACCGAAAATGTTGCGGAATATCTAATTATTAAAACTATTCTGAATTTTGTGAAGGGTATAAAATAATAAAATATATTACTACTTATTAGAGGTATGAGGAGTTCTGAGCGATTGAAGAAATTAATCCTTAATGTTGATGTTGTTATCGGGGCCAATGTGATGAGAAATGGTTAATTTTTTTAAATAGATGACTTTAGTAAACATTTCAATCGATCCCAAACTATATATTCTGAATTAAGAAAAAATATTTAAATATTTTAGTAACTTCAAATACAAAACTCAATGTTAAACATTTTGAATTAAAAGTATTTACTATAAATTCTTAATATTAACCATTTATCATTTTTGGAAATTCTAAAATCTATTGGTTAATGACAAACATTGGTGTTAACAAAAGTGCCAGTGATGTAATAATTTAACAAAATAAATGTTTTAGTTAAAACAATCACCTGCTGTGTTTAGATAATTTAACATTTTGTTAAATATTTTTTTAACGATCAAGTATCTGTCTGTAGTCCGTTGATTCATTATACAACATTTTATTACTCGTTATAGTTTAATAATTAAGACATAAATCATCAATAATACAAAACAAATTATTAAAAAATATTATTTTAACTATTTTTGCTAAAATAAAATTCTACAAATTATTTATAATAAAAAATTTCTACTTTAGAATAAAACACCAACACACATAAATATACACAATCACATCCGTTTTGCGAAAAAAAAGCTATTAATATAAGTTGTATGTATGAACTTTGATATGGGAATGATTTTTTTTTTTTTTTTGCTGTTGTTTTTTTTTTTTTTTTCTTATAATTTAATTTTTCGCAGAATAAATCGTAATGATGTTTGGGTAATTATATACCAAAATTCCTGTTAATAAAATCTCAATTATCTGATTAATAATGTCGTTTTGTTAGTTTCAGTTGTTGTAGTTGTTCCTCTTCTTTTTTCATTATTTTTCTAAATTCTCATGTAAAACAGCAAGTATCAGATAATATTAGCCCTACAATCAGTATTGCCAAATGTTTGGAAAACTGTCATTTTGTATGATTTTTCTAACAAGAAAAATTATTTGGTAAGATACTTTAGTCCACTTATCTTTCTTCAAAATTTCGTATTTAAACTATTTGTTTAAAGAATTCATAAAAAACTTATCTCCAAAATATGGAACTAGGACAAATAAGAGGAAACCGCGCTGTATAGGTTTATAGAAAAATCTCCCGTTAGTAAATTGTATACTGTAGCGATTTAAATTGACATCAGAGTAACCTTTAATGACGTACAAACTGATACTCTTATCAAATTCTTAGACCTGCTTCGCTGGATCGGGCGCTCTGTCACTGAATCAGCTAATGCTAAGGAATAGATGGATAATGAAGAGAGGAGGAGCCCTCAATATAACCTTAGGTTTAACCAAAATGTCAACCCGGTGAAGTACTTAGGTGTAATATTTGACCGCAAACTACATAGACGATAGGACCAACTGGTGTTGAGCACTATTTAGAAAAACTATACGCTTTTTTAAAAACGTAATAAGATTGTTTTACATACTTGGCTCTAAACTGATAGATAAGATTAAGATTGGGTCTTTAGATCGTCAATTAAAGTATAAAGCGAAGAACTTTCACTTTAAGAATTTAACTAGACCAATATAAAACCCTTTGTCAAAAAGTTGGTTTTAAAACACTAACGCTTGGAATATGGAATGATGGATGAGTAAGTCCAAGGTTTTTACGATGGTCCGTAATCTGACATGATTCAGGTCTTTGTCCAAATTAAATCTCTCAGTAACATTAATTAGAAAAATTCTAAGGAATCCTAGAAATTGATATTATAAACATTGGACGATAAATTCATAAATTATTTCAAAAGGATCTTCAACCAAATTTTCAATGTATGTATGTATGTATATTTGTATATTCCAGGTCTTGTATATTCTAGATCAATCTATCCAACACATCAGGTTTACCAGTCATCCAGTTTGAAAAAGCCCCGTTTTCAGAATAATTTTCTGAGTCGAATTAACGATGTCCGCCCGTGTGTCCATGTAAACGTTGTTATCAAAGTACAGGTCGC